CAGGCATAGACCACTGCGCCTGGCTGCAAACTTTTTTCCTTAGTACTGGAGTTGAACCCAGGGCCTTTATGCTGAACTATGTCTCTGGCCCTTGTAAATCATCATCATCATCATCTTCTCTTTCTCCTCTTTCTCCTCCTCCTCTTCTTCTCTCTTTCTTTTTTCTTTCTCCTTTTCTTCCTCTTCTTCCTTTCCCTTCCTCCTCTTCTTCTTCCTTATCTTCTTAATATTATTATTATATAAGTGTTTTTTATTTTGAAATAGGATTTTGCTAAGTTGCCCAGGGTGGGCTCAAATTTGTGATCCTCAACCTCAACCTCCCAGAGTTTAGGCTTATAGCCGTGTCCTTCCATGCCCAGCTTCCAAACTTGAAGATAAAAGTAAAAATGAGACTCAGCTATATATGGGTATATATATATTTTTTACTATATTTCTGATTGTAAAAATGTTTAAGTATTTGAATATTACAGAAATACGTAACATAAGTAAAGCAGAGAGAATCTGTTAATTTGGGTATATCAAGGATTGACATCCTTGATGTCAATCCTTGATATACAGTGCTAAACAGTAAATATCTCTAACTTTGGTATTCACGTAGTATCTGCAGCAATAAGTGAATATGCTGTTCTCTATTAATAAACTTCATGTACAAAGATAATCAGCCATTTGTAGTTTACTAAAGAGACAGTATAAATGTACATTCTAACACTTCTTTATATTTTGAACCAGGGATTACATTATGCATAGGAGTCTGTAATATATTTGTTTTTACTTAATTTCTGTGTACATATTTCATGGTATTACATGTAAGTTATGCTGTTAATGACTAATAGTTTCCTTCCATAACTATGTCTTTACCTCGCTTAGTCTATAATGATGAGGAATTTGGTGCTAAACATTTGTGTATTTTATTCAGTGCTATAACTATTAGGGAAATTGAATTTATAATTTAAAATCCTCCCCTCTGGCTTACGCATGCCAAAAATCACTAGACTCAGATGATTTTGCTGAAGATTCTGTCAGAAATTTAAAGAATTAATGTTCCAGAAAAGAGAAAACCTTCCCAGTTCACTATAGCAAATTGAAAACAATGTAAGAAATAAAAACTATAGTATGTCTGCTGAATATAGATGAGAAACTCATTAAGAAAATATTAAATAGAATTTAACAATATTTTAAAAGTTATCAGAGCTGGGCATGGTGGTACATTGGCTGTAATTCCAGCTTCTCAGGAGACGCATGCAGGAGAATTATAAATTTGAGGACCACATGGGCAATTTAAGACCAGGTCTCAGAATGAAACATTAATAAAAAGGACTAGAGATACAGCTCAGTAATAGAGTGCTTGCCTAGTGTTCATGATGTCAGTTACAACTACTATAAAACAAATAATCATTTCTTATTTATCCTACCTTTTCCTTTAGTTGCTATTTCTAATCCTAATCAATGATTACACTATACCTTCATAATTTATATTAAGACTCCCAAGGATTTAGCTTCATTTTGTTAATATTCTAGTGATCCTCACTCCCACCCCATATTCTCTTTCTTCAGATTGTAAAGGACTGTCAAGCAAAACAGAGGTCCAGTATTGGTTCTTTTTTTTTTTTTTTTTTTGTAACTTTTTAAACTTTTTATCGAACCAGGGATCAAACTCATGACCGCCTGCTTGCAAGGCAGGTGCTTATGCCGCTGAGCTAAATCCCCAGCCCCTCAGTATTTGTTTTTTAATCTTATTGCTGAAGGATGTAAAAAATAAATAATAATTTCCTATATCCCCTATTTACCAGCCACTCTTAATATTTTTTTTTTCCCCTACAACTCTTGATTGAAAGATCTTGAGAAATGTCTGCTTTCCCTATTTTTAATTTGAAATCTAGAAGATTTTAAAAATTTGTGTTTTAAGAGTTGGGTTGTAGGGCCAGGGGTTTAGCTCAGCAGCATAAGTGCCTGCTTTGCAAGTGTGCGAGTTGTGAGTTAGATCCCTGGTTAAAAAAAAAAAAAATGGGAGTTGGGTTGTAGCCCTGGATGAAGGCCTGAGTTTGGCCTCCAGAGCATGTACACATCAGCATCTAGCTACATAGTTTAGATGGGCCTTGAACTTATAGGCCAGGCTGGCCTTGAACTTGCTACGATCTTCCTGCCTCTGCTTTCCAAGGGTTTGGGATTATAGGAGAGCACCACTGTGCCACTGTGCTGTGGTTAAGCTCTACTTAACCATTTTTAAGGGTACAATTCATTGGTATTACTTACATTTACAATGTTGTGGTCCATCTGTGTTTCTTTTCAAAACTTGGATCACTACAAATAAGAAGCCATCTGACTATTAAGCAATCATTGGGGGAGAGGACAATTCCTTGATGACACCTCCTCGCCAAATAACTCTTTATTCCTTTCTCCCTGGTCCTTGGTAACCTTTCATCTACATTCATCTACTGTTTGTCTCTAAATTTGCTTGTTTAAAAAATTCTGTGTAGTAGACCTGCACAATATTTGATCTTTGTGTCTAACTTACATATTTTGTTTTGCATAGTATCTTCAAGGTTCGCCCATAGCATTGATCCAGAATATAATTTGTTTTTTTATGGCTGAATAATACTGTTTTAGGTGTATAACACATTTTATTTATCCATTTATTTATTTGGTACCTGGAATCGAACTCATGATCTTGCGCTTGCCAGGCAGGCTGTGCTGCTGAGCTATATTCCTGGCCCTCCATTTATCTTTTTTTTTTTTTTTTTTTGTCTTTTTCCTTTTCCTTTTTATCGGTTCCAGGGATTGAACTCACGACTGCCTGCTTATGCCGCTGAGCTAAATCCCCAGCCCCTCTCCATATATCTTTTGATGGACACTTGAATTGTTTATACTTTTTGGGTATTACAAATAAAATTTCACAAAAAAAGAACTTTGGTATACAATATTTCTTGTCCTTGGGGTTGTATACGTAGGAGTGGACTTCCTGGTCATGTAACTTTATGTTTATTTAAGTTTTTGAATTGCCAAGCCATTTTCTATAATAATTGTGCCATTTCATGTTCCCACCAGTAATGTAAGAGGTTTTTAAATTCCTTGTATCCCTTGTCAGTACCTCATTCCTTCTTTGATTATACCCATTCCAGTAGGTAGCAAGTGGTATCTTATTATGGCTTTGATTTGTAGTTTCTTTCTACAAACTACAAAGATCTTTCTTCATGCTTGTTTGCTCTTTCCATACCTTATTCAGAGAAATGTCTGATCAAGTCCTCTGCTCCCCACCCCCCTTTTTAAAAAAAGTATAATCTCTGCTGGGGTTGGTGATTTATGCCTGATATCCCAACACTTGGGAGTCTGAGGCAGGAGGATCTTCATGAGTTTGAGGACATCCTGGACTACATAGTGAGTTTGAATCCAGCCTAAACTGTATAGTGAGACCTTGTCTCAAAAAACAAAAAAAGTGTAATTTCTATTATCTATTTTCCCAGAGGATGGTAAGTTTTTCTTCAGTCTGTAAAGACCAACTCCTTATGGGCATTGGTGGGGGTTGTGATGCAGCATTAGCAGATCTAAATCAGGGTGGTGGTGGGGGATGGTGTTTGGTCCTTCTGTGCTTCATGAGATTGATTCCTGACAACCTTGCCCTGGGTGACACAACTCAAGTAATGATGTAGTTTCACAAGAAGCTTGGGAAGTACATAGAGATTGAGGATATTTAGTTTGGACATTTCCCTGATAACTGTGTCTTTTACTGTGTTTCAGATTTACTTTTGTGTGTATGTCATACTGAGGATTAAACCCAGGGAACCTGTACCACTGAGCTACATCCACACCCCCTTTATTTATTTTGAGACAGGGTCTTGCTAATTTGTCCGTGTTGGGTTCTGACTTGTGATCCTGCTGCCTTGGCTTCCTATGCGATGTGCCACCACTCTGACCCCAGAGTTTTTAAGTTTGAAGAGGTTCAATTTATTTTTTGTTTTCTTTTGTGGTTCATGCTTTTTTTTTGATACTTTAATAATAGAACCATTGGCAAATTTATCAGTTGGCGTTAGGTGATTTTCATTAGTGATCCCAGGTTAGGTTGCTTTTTTGGTCTGAGATAAAAGACAAAAGAAAAACTAATGCAAAAGCAACAAAACACAACAAAAACAAAAGCCCCCCAAAACCAAAAACAAAACAAAAAACCAGTATTATGCAGGATGGTGAGGCAGGAGGATTGCCTGTTTGAGACAAGGCTGCACTACATAACAAGTCGAATGCTAACGTGGGCTGTATAGTAATACCCTATCTCAAAACAAAGCAAAGCAGAAAAAAAAAAGCCCAAAACAATATTGCTAATATTTAGCATTTAATGTCTATTAGATGTGTTTTGTAAACCTGAGAAAATAGAATTTTATAAAAAAAGAAAATCATCATTTCGTTTTTCTCAGGTAGATTCTATTGAAACCCTTAACCTTCCAGTGAGCTCAGGGATGTAGTATTCCCCATTATTTCTTTGGAAGAGATTGAAGTACAAGGTGTGTTACCTCCTGCAGTGACCATACTTCTGGTGTTTGCTTGGAACCCCAGGCTCTCACCTGCACTGTACTCTGCGGAGACAGAGGCTTCTGTTTTCTGTATTGCAGTGTACCTCCTAGCTACCTTTTCACCTTTCCTGCCAGTCCACTGTATTTTTTTCAAACTGCTTTTAAGAAACTCAAAGTGAATATATTCCTTACAGAGGGACTAATATTTTTGAACCAGTCTTTAAATTTGTTCCATTGCACTACAAAAGTGAGCGCCCATATTTACAACTCTCACATTCCTTTTAGTAACTCCATATTAGAACATTGACTAACATAGCCCCCGCCTCTAGCAGAAAAAAAACCACATAAAATAGGCTTTTCCTACTTGTGGTTTGAATATACACTCTGTATATTTTCTCTGGGATGATTTGATAATTATTTACTGTTTTCTTTCAAAGTATAAAAGCATGTATTAAGTGCCCTCCTGATGTACTTACCATTCTGATTTTTCCCCCCTAGCTGATCTGAAAAGAACAATTGCTGTCCTTTTGGATGACATTTTACAACGCTTGGTGAAGCTGGAGAGCAAAGTGGACTATATTGTTGTGAATGGCTCAGCTACTAACACTACCAACGGCACTAATGGGAACTTGGTGCCAGTAACCACAAATAAAAGAATAAATGCCTCGGGCAGCATCAGATAGCAGTTGAAGATCACCTTGCACTGTTATATTCACTGTGAATTATATCCTATCACAGAGAAGCTTTTTAATTGCTGGCTAGGAGAGAGTAATACTTTACAATAAAAGTGCAACATATTTTCAAGGAATTTGCTGGATTCATGGAACTCTAATTCTGTATATAAAATTATAAGTGTCACTAGTTTGCTTTCAGACAAGTCTCCCATGCTGTACTACATCCTTAAAGGGAGTTTGTCAACATGGTTGATGTGATAAGCAGGTAGGTGATCTTTGTGTAAATGTTTTGTGTTTGAGGTCAAATTGAAACAAAAACACTAAAAGATGTGAATTTGGTTTCATAAAATATTTAAGTATATAACATGTTTTCAGACAAGTGGAGAATATTGTTACAGAATTATTCTGTCATTTGTTCTCAGTAAATGTAACTGTTCAACTAAGGTTACTGGAAAATGTGCTTACTTCCAATACTATATTTTGTTACTCAGATTATGAACAGAGAAATGAAGTATAATGTTAAAAGATAGTGTTTTGAAATCATGACCCAAAGAATGTCTTCATTTGCACTATTCGTCAAAATAGAGGAAGGTTAATTGTTGTATATTTTTAAAAATTACATTTGTAAGTATAATCTTGAAATGGTAGCAGCCACTGTCTGTAACCTAGTCTAAATATTGGGGGCAATTTATAACAACATTAAAGTTGCTTATCTAATCTCATATTTAAAATTTCTTACATATATCTGGAAAATAAAAGTATTTTTATGATAAAATGAAATATAGCTATAGTCATGATTTTTCACATACATGAGTGTTGATTTAAAAGTTTAATCCCTTAGCTAGATGCAGTGTTAAACACCTGTAATCTCAGCTACTCAGGAGGCTAGGGCAGGAAAATTGAGAGTTCAAGGTCAACCCAGGCAACGTAATGAGACTGTCTTTAAAAAACAGAAATGAAACTTAACTCTGTGAGTGTCTAGGACATAAGGAAAAGCACATGATTCCGTATTTGGGTAGTTTTGCTTCTGTTGGTGGGACAGGAGGGGACTCAAGGACCTTTGACAGATGTATATAATGTAGGTATTGTGCTGCATAAATTGCTTGGAAAGTGCTGCTATTTATGTTACATGAGTACCCTGCTTTATGAAAGTTTGGATTAGATATTTATCTTACATAATGACCACTTAATTAAGGACATTTATATTGTAAAGATTGACTCTCTTTTTCAGGAAAATAGTGATTATAAACAGCACAAGAAAACTTATACTTGGATAATTCTAATATAGAACAAAATACACCTTTATTTAAATTTCCATGTAGCAAATCTGATTGCTATATGGTGCCCTGTGTTTCATAGTATTTATTCTCTATACTGCTCAAGTGCAGCTAGCATCTAGATTTAGCCTCTATGGACTTTAATTTTAGATACTGTATTGTTCAAGATTTCAATATGCTACCAAAAGTTGTAACATTAATTATAGCATTTTGTTGAAATAAGTATGAGAAAATATTTCATGAAGATAGCTTCCCAAACTGTCTTCTCTGTACCTTTAAATGAAGAAATTAATTATATACCACTACCAGGTAAAGTTTGGAATAATTGTTCTCTCTTGATTAGATGTAGACATTTTGTTTTATGTGTTTGTTTTCAGGGATGAAATAAAATATATTATTTGTACTTAATGTGTTACATGCATTTTTCTTTAATAGTGTTTGTATATTTGATAAATGATAAATGATCAAAAGAAATCATAATTTTAGGTTTGTGCTGGGTGAAGTGGTGCACACCTATATACCCAGCACTCAAGAGACTGGGACAGGAGAATCACTCTGAGTTTGAGACCAGTCTGGGCTACAAAGTGACTGGCCTAGAGTACATAGCAAGATTCTACCTAAAAAAAAATTGGGGGTCTATTTAATCAGCTCTAGATAATTTTTTTGAAAGGAAAATGGAAGGTTATGCAATAGTTCCTCTTTTTGATGTCTTAGCTAAGACAATGGATCTCAGTGTAGGGTCAGAGGGAACAAGTCCAGATTGTGGTAAGAAGTAGATCCTAGACTAACACCTTCAAATTGAAATGAACTGTTGATGGGGGAAGGTAGGGATTGAACCCAGTGCCTTGCATGTGTTAGGCAAGTACTTTACCACTGAGTTTATTACTTATTTATACTTTCAGTTGATCTCAGGTAATTAGGACTTAACACAGAGGACCTCGTTAAAGGTATTAACAACTTAAAACTTTCACATTAATGTTAGAGTGAGAGAGGAGAGAAGGGCCTAATTCTCCCCAAGAAGTACTTCTTAAATTCTTCGGTGGCTAGGTCACCTTACAACCAGCCTATTACATCAGCACCCCACAGCTGCTCTGGGAAATATTTCGTTCAGCTGTAGCATATTCAGTCATGGACCTGTCAGCCTCTCTTGATGATTCTGTCCCTCTGTAGCTCTCATTCTGATCTGCAGAGGCCGGCAACCCATGACCAGTCTGTCTCTGCACACGGGCAAGCCCTCCTTTTTCCTTTGAAGCATATCTCCTGTGCCTTCAGCAGGTTCAGCCTATGTGCTGCTACCTCTGCGCTGCAGTGTAAGTCCTGATAAAGCCTCTGCCAGATGCTGTATTCTTCCCTATAGCATGCTCCCCTGGTTCACTAGGAGCTGGTAATACCAAAGGTTGCTGGCAACACTGGAAAAAGGCTTCTGGTGCTGAAAGTAGCCAGCAGTTGGTGCTTATAATACTCTAGGTAGCTGGCAGCAAGTGATGGAGAGTGATGAAGGGTAGGTGGAGCCACCATCTCTAGTAGCTAGAGTTCCTGAGAACTGCTGATAGTTGCTGGTTCTGAGCAGCAAGGAGGGCCGCTGGCATTCAAAGCCAGGGCTATTAAAACTAAAAGAGCTACACTTTGCCAATATGAAGTTTTTATATGAATTGAGCAGAACTTGCAGTTGATTTAGAATCCAGTGTGCAGTCTGTCTCTTTAGAAGCCCCGGAACAACAGGGCAGACAGTGGTGGACAGTGGCTCAGGAACAAGCTCAGTTTGATTTCTATCTTACATGCAACCCAGAATTCATGTTAGCCAGTGACAAGAGGATCTTTGATTTTACTGTAAGCACTATATTAAACAATATTTAAACATTTCAGGAGAACTTGGGTTTTATTTAGTCTTCAAGAAATACTTGGCTAGAGATAGATAATAGCTCACTGGCACAGTGCTTGCCTGGCAAGGGTGAGTCCTAAGTTTGATTCCTGGTACTAAACAAAACAAAACAAAAACCAAAACTAACTGGGTGCAGTGGTGCATGCCTATAATCCCAGCACTTGAGGCTGAGGCAAGAGAGCTGCCGTAAATTTGAGACTAGCCCGTGCTACATAGTAAATTCAAGGACAGCCTGACCCTGTCTCAAAAAAGCAAAGACAAAAACTAATGACCTTGACTTTGACTAGGTAGGTTGTATTGAATGAAGTATCTTTTCAGAGACAGAACATCCTTACGGATTTACAGAATCTGCCTCATCTCATGAATTTATACCTCAGAAGCTTAAAAGTATTAGTTTGCATTGCAGCCTCTGACTTGCAGGCTTAGTTTAGATGCAAACAATGTTCTGGTTTTAACTGAGCCCTTTGAGTGTAGTAGCTAGCAATACATTGTTTTCCCTTCTTTTAAATGTCTGTTTGAAAGAATGGGTCATGATACAATGAAAAATACAAAATCAAAAATGTTTAGAACAGAGAAGGAGATCCTTTATTTAGAATTTACTGTTTTTTTAACTTTGTGAAGAGGTATAATAAAATGAGTTCTTTTTTTTTCTTTCTTTTTTTTTTTTTTTAATAAAGTGAGTTCTTAAAAAATATTTTTGTCTAAAAACTATTGGGTGGCTGGGGATATAGCTCAGTGGCATAAGTGCCTGCCTGGCAAGCACGTGGTCCTGAGTGATTCCCATTACAAAAAACAAACAAATGAAACCCTAAAACCCCCAAAAACCTGTTGGAGCCAGCCCCGGAAGATTGAGGACCATCGTTATGGTCCAGAGGATTGGAGAGACACTGCTGGATGAGGAAGACCCCACTCAGCACATGGCTTTTCTGCTCCACTTCTCCTTTCTCTTTTTTTTTTTTCTTTTTCTTTTTTCCAGTGACTCAGCCTTTTATTGAAGTGTAAGTTTGCATTTTGTGTGCTTGTTTGCTGTTACATGTGTGTTGACAATCTGTCAAACCATGGCTCAAACTTTCTTAATTTGAGGGCAACAAATACAGCCCTCAGGTCATCTGTTAGTCTGTTTCGTGTATTGTATTTGATAGAACTTAAAGCTGAAAACCTGCTCACAAGCTTAGGGTGATCCAAACAAAGTAAGAAAAGCAGTCCCAAGTGCTTTTGTTGACTTAAAATTTGGCAGAGAATCCCACTTTAAGGATTTCTTTTTCTTTTCTTTTTTTTTTTTCTTTTTCCCCCTTTTTATCGGTACCAGGGATTGAACTCATGACGGCCTGCTTGAAGGCAGGCGCTTATGCCGCTGAGCTAAATCCCCAGCCCCAGGATTTCATTTTCACAACTACCAGTTGTACTCCTTTGTCATGCTTTTATACTCTTAACTAGTATTGCACACAGTTCATATAATTTTTTTTCTAGATAGAGCTCTCTTGAAATTTCAATAGCTCCATTTCCAGATTTCCAAAATCTAATCAGTGTAAGCTAAAAAGATCAGGTTGTTCAAAACTGGTTTTATCTGGAGCAGAAAGAAAATACAGGTCTGTCTCCATCTTATGAGACTAAAAAAACAAATTCTCTTTGCAGCTGCTACAATGCTAGAAAATTCCTTCTAAATTTCCTGGTGGCTTAGGACTGACTGCAAATGGTGAATTTTCTAAATGCATTTTTAGATTTAGAAAATATTTCAGTTACCCAATTTAAAAAATGATGTAGTTTTCTCTCAAATGTTTCGATATTACAAATCATCCTTTGTCTTCCCTGTACTTTGTGCAGGTTTTTTTGTTCATTTAAGTGTGGTGTAACATCTCTTGTGACAAAAAAGCCACCACACAGCACTGTAGATATCTACCCCTGTGTTCTTCCAGGCAGATACCAGTTTCAGGAGCTCCTTTCTCAGGATGTCACCAACAGGGTAACACAAAATTACTGCTACCTTTGCATTATTATTTATATCTCTGCTTTCATCCAACCACATAGAGTTAACAGCCTGCCTTTTATAAGTCAGTGTTGAGCTGCTAACATCATTTGCTATGCACAAAACTTATTTTTACAGTTTTTTCTCTGTTTTTTTTTTTTTAGACAGGATCTCACTATGCAGTTCAGGCTGACCTTGAGCTCATTTTATAGCCCAGGCTGGTCTCAAACTTGCAGCGATCCTCTTGCCTCAGCCTCCCGAGCGCTGGGATTACAGGCATGTGCCACCACACCCGTTTTGCTTTTTTCCTTTCTTAAAAAGCTCATTATACTGAGTCCCCTAAGATGGCGTTTTGAAGAACTTTAAGGTTCAGCCTGTTCATATTCCAATATACTGGTCTTTGAATAAACCTCTAATACTCATCACCTGAATATTGATCTTCCAGCAGTGGGCAGCCTAGACCTTAATCCAGGAACATTTATATGATTTTTGTTTTTTCTTAATAAACCACACACTGGTTTTGTTGAGATTGTGTGATGCTTAGTTTTTGAAGAATCCACCAAATTGTTTTCCAGGGTGGCTGTTTCATTTTATATTCCCAGTGGTAATGTATGCAAGATTGTATTTGTGCATCTTCATCAGCAGTCTATATGTCAGTTTTTAAAATTTAGCTCTTCTCATTGTGTGGTTAAATCATTCTAATCAGCCCTCAGCCAAAGCCTAAGAGTATCCCTTCACACATTGTGCGAGCTCTGCCTCTCTGTGCAATTCTTAGTGTTTTACTTTGCAAATTTATCTGTACTATTATTCCTGAATTCTCCGTTTTTCCTCTTCAATTTAAGGACCTGACCATGTTTGGATTCTTCTTCCCTAAACTGTAGCTTTGGAACTTATGCAGTAAACTGGGGCCATGATAGGGCTCAGCTCATTTTGTCTCTCTCAGGGATCACTGTTCTATGCTTCTCTTGTCCCATATGTGAAAACTTTTATCCTATTTTTTTATTGTGTAAGGTAGCAGAGAGGCGTGTTGGTTTTCTATAATTGCCATTAAAAAATGATTACAAAGTTGGTAGGTTAAACACCATTTACAAAAAATAAAAAGGGCTAGGGACATAACCATGGGCTCAGCCTCCCATATTGAAACAAACAAACTCAAAATTCTTGAGTGCTGGGGTTCAAATATCTAAAGTCAGTTCTAGTGGCTAAAATCAAGGTGCTAGCACAACTGGGGTCCCTCAGGAGCTGTGTGAAGGTCAGGATGCGTTTCCCACTCTGTCCAGCTGCTAGAACTGTGTTCTTTGCATTCCTTGGCTCATGGCCCCACTTGCTGTTCCAAAGGCAGCAGTGAACATCTAGCTTCAGCCATCACACTGTCTTCTGTGGTGAAATCTCTCTCTGCTAAGGACACCTGTAATTAGATTTATTGTCCATTGTATAATCTAGGATAGTCTGTGTGTATTCAACTGCCCATCTTTGTGACAATCCCTGAGACAAACAATTTAAAGGAGGAAAGAATTTTGGTTTATGGTTTCAGTCTATGGTTGCTTGATCCCAT